TTGCAGCTGCGTTCTCAGATGCAGAACCGTTGAACAGCGAGCGGGATCGACTGTACGAGGACCGACAGCTGCTGCCCCTCTCGTTTCTACGGGAGAATCTCTCGGTAGCAGCAGGTGAGGTTAAAAGTTTCGACGAGCTGGCACGCATTCCAGTCTCCAAGAAAGGAGCGCACTGTTTGCCTTGCTGAAGTTTCGAGCAGATTCTGCGAAGGCCCCAGACAGCGGTGCTGTCTATCAAGTGTGGAGGCTTCACTTGCAAAACTGTCTTCACAGACACCATGGACAACAAAGACGGAGGTTTCAAAAAGAATTCAAAGAGTTGATTCTGTGAATGCCCCAAACAGCGGTGCTGTCTATCAAGTGCGGACCTTCCCTTGCAAAACTGTCTTCACAGAGACCATGGACAGCAAAGGAATCGAAGAGTTGAATTCAAAGAGTTTTGGTTCCAGATTCTCGTGCCTTTTCTGGTCTCCGATGAGACAAACGATGCTTGATTTGGCGTTAAAAAAGGTCTGCAAGCCCCCGGCGAGAGTGTACCAACTCACAACAATCTATGCAGGTGATGAAGGCGGCGCGCAGATCATCGATCGCCTGCAAACCTACACCGGCCAAAAGCTCGTCTTCTCGAACGAGAAGTGGTACGTTTTCACAGGGTCGGTGTGGAAGGCAGACCCAGGTGGGCGGGAGGCTCAAAAGGTGTGCCGTGGAGAACTCAACAAAATCAGCGCTGCGTACCAAAAGGAGACTGGGGCTGCGGTTGAGCAAGACGAGAGCGAGGATGATGATGGCAGCGAGGAAGGGCCCCCGAAGAAGAAGAAGAAGAGGACAGAAAAGCTGACCAACTTCAACTGGAACGCACGGATGTCCAACATCATGACGACCCTGAAAGGCTATTGCCTGGATCCGGGATTCGAGAAGCTGCTCAACTCCAACAGAGACGCTCTTCCCCTGCTAAACGGCGTCATCCTCCTGCCAACTGGCGAGTTAGTACCGCACCATCCCAAGGTGAGCTTGGGTTAAGGCATTTTGCCCTTGAAAACTGCTTTGAAAACTACCCAAATATGACCGGAAGTCAGTCTGACAACCGACAATCTGCATATTTGCAGTTCCTGTGGTCGTTTCGTAGTTGAATACTTCGTGTAATCTACCGGTGGCCAACTTTTCAAAATCAGGCCTGGCCCTCCACATGCGTGCTCATAACCGTAAAACTTCGACTTAGTTGTATCGTTCAGTCCGCTTCAGAAAGTGCGTGAAGTTGTGCTTCAACGTAGCGCATCGACTGAAGTGAAGGAGAAAAGAGGGATAGCATTCAACAGGCAATCTGACAACCGACACTCTACCTTTTGCAGTTCCTGTGGTCATTCGTGTTGGGGTACAGGTGGCCTTCGACCGGTGTCCACACGCCGTTAGGCCGGATGGGCGAGTTCCTGAAGGAGATCACGCACACCCCAGAAGCTCTAGCCTATCTTCAGCGCATCCTAGGCTACGGCATCACTGGTCACATCTCCAACCAGGTCATGCTCATCATGATCGGGGAAGGTGGTGCTGGAAAGAGCCTCCTATTGACGCTCCTGAAGCGCCTTATTGGCCCGTTCTACAAGGACGTGTCAAAGGATATGTTGGTGACTTCGAAGGGGCAACGGCCGCCCAGCAAAGGAGCTGCCAACCCGGACGAAGCAGGTAATAGTTTTAGACAACGTCTGAGGAAGTTAGAGCTGTGTCTGATTCGTAATTGCATGCTAGACCGTAGAGCTTCTTTTGAAAAAGTCGAGCTGGTTTCTCATATGCGGATCTTGCAGACTTCTAAGCACTTTTCTCTTGATGTGCACGTGCGCAAGGACTGCAAGGGGTTCGAATGGCTGTGTGTTCGGAGTCGGAAGAAACCGACGAGTTTGCGGAGAGCAACTTGAAACGGCTCACCGGAGAGGCAACCATCACGAGCAGAGCGCTTTACAGTGACTATGTCACTTTTCAGACGACACAACTGGTGAGGAATAAACCACTGATCCCCTCACGGGCAGACATCCATTCATCTTTTGACTTCCTTTTGCAATCTCTGTCTTTGCTGTCCATGGTGTCTGTCAAGTACAATCTGCAAGTGAAGGTCCGCACTTGATAGACAACACCGCTGTTTGGGGGCCTTTACACAATCTGCTCGAAACTTCAGCAAGGCAAACAGTGCGCTCCTTTCTCGGAGACCGGAATGCGTGCCAGCTCGTTCAGATTCTACGAGGTGTTGAGAAGTTTTTTGTCTTTGCTGTCTGCACTGTCTTTCAAGCTAGATTCGTATAAGCATGCTTCCCTTGGTGGACAGTTACCGTGTCAACCAATGCTCAAACTTCCGCTGAAAACTCGAAAAAAACTGGAGGTGCCGGTTTACGAGCTAAATCCTTTTTGCATTTTGTCTGCAGCACATTCTCTGCACCAACTACCCGCCGCGTGCCAAGAGGTGGACCATTGCGCTGAAGCGCCGTCTGCTTACCCTGGTTTTTCCAATGCGCTTCTTCTACCCTCAAGAGGCGGGGTACGACCCGAAAAACCCACACCATGGGGTCAGAGATGATGCGCTCGAAAGCATACTGATGGCAGAGGTCGAGAAGCTGCTGGTTTTCTTGGTCATTGGAGCAAAGGACTGGTATGAGAACGGGAGAAGGCTACTTGACATGCCAGAAACTAGCAAGAGATACATGGAGTCCTGGGAGCAGTCAAACGATCCGTTCGCAGCTTTTATGAAATACGAGGGCACCATCAACACCAAAGCATTTGAGACGTCGGAGTCTCTGATGACGGCTTACAACAACCCGGACAGGCTGGTTGACGGCGTCAGGTTTGAGGAGACAGGAGCTCCGATGATTCGCACTAGTCAGGAGTTAGCCAAGTATTGCAGAGCCCATGGTCTAGATGGTCCGGGGAAGCCTTCCGAATTGAGATTCGTAGATGCAGGCCATCAGATCAGGGGCTACCGAGGATTCAAACTGAATAAGCCAACGGACCACAGTCGATTGGAGCGATAGAGCGGCAAGCAGGCCCTTTTGCTTGACATCATTTGCCACAAGTGCGCTGTAACTACGAACTGATTTATATGTTGATGAAAGCTTGATTCGTCATCAGGGAACGGATCCTTCCCTGATTCGAACACACACGTAAATCCAACGACTCTTTCGCGAGTGTTCATAAACGTGCGCATGAGTGTTCTTTTTCGACCTTCCTTCAAGATTCTGTCTTCAGTTTCCATGCTGTCTATGAAGCCAAATCCCTGTACGAAGATCTATCTTGATAGACAACACATTGGCATGGCAAGCTTCCGGCGTGATGACCAGGTATGAGCCTCGTTCCGTTCCCGTTTTGGAACCATGAGCTTCGTTAACGGTTCGAACATCATCTAGTCAACGGCTGCCGTTGGATTTGAGGTGGCGGTCTTCACGCATACAATCCTATTTTCAGAATCAAACTCAACGCCTGCTTCCTTCAATTTCGATATGGTCCTCGCATGCGGTTTTGTAGTTCTTCCAGTCCGAAGACGCTTGGCAGCGTCTTGTAGTAAGAGCCCGTGCTTGTGTTTCTGATACCATATCTTCTTCCGCTCAAGCACACGCTGTTTGTTGCATCTGTAAAAATCTTGTCTCTTTAATTGAAGCTCTTTGCACCTCGGCACGCCGTCTGATGATTGAAGAGAGATTGGAAGTATTGCAATTTGAACAACTCGATGCTTCATTCCACAAAGGGTACAAGGAACTAAGCGTATGATGGTTATCTCCGCGCCGGTCTCCATTTCGTTGAAATGTTATATAATCTACTCTTCATTCATATATTTTTTTCCAACAGATCAACGCAAAGCTCAGTTGTCTTCTGCCTCCTTGCATACCTTGAGAGTCCTCTTTGCCATCGATAGTAGAAGCGCTGCCTCCTCCTCGGAATACCCACCCGTCTCATGATCTGTTATACTTGCTGTGATTATGCCGAAAACATCGCCCCATGAAACGACGAATTCTTCATTACAGAGTCGATAAAGCAAAAGCAAAACGCCCTTCCGTAGCAAAGTCATGTCGATGGGAAGTCGGAGCCCTTCATCCACGAGGCCTTCATAGCGAAGAGGTCCAAAGCTCTCAATCTCGTCGATGAACGGCAACAAGCTATATAGACGAGGGTTTGCCTGCTTTGGCACGTAGTACGTGTAGCCTCGCTCCATTTGGATCTTTCTTTATAGAAAGGAGAAAAAAATCCATGCTCTTTAGGTCTCTGTCTCTCAATCTTCATCGCTGTCAACTGCAACACATCTGAACGTTGTTATCTTGCTTCCCCGAGCCTTTCCGGTGGCTTTTGAAGTGCCTCTAGTAGCTGATTGTTTTGCTTTACCTTTATCAGTTGACTTTCTCTTGGAAGTCTGCTTTGCAGCCTTGCTCGAGGTTTTCTTTGTGCTCTCTTGCTTCTTCTTTGCCTTTGAAGCGGAAGCGTGCATCTTAACAAGCTCATCAACCGGTACCTTAGTTGCTGATGTTGAGAAGGTTCCTTCGAACGGAAGTCCAAGCGGTCGTTCACACTTTCGGATTGGGGAGATCTTCACCTCGTACCCAAATTCTTTCTTAGCCGAACCTCTGGTCGTTTCCTGTAAGAGAACATAGACAGTGCAGGGTGCTTTAGCTGCACCGTTACATTTGAGTGCCCTGAATAGCTGGCTACCCGCACGGGTGCCTGCTTGCGAAACACGTCCCCTTTCAGCATCGATCTCGAGACGAGTGTCTTCGAGAAGGCTCGAAGCATCTGATTGGTTATGGTCAAGCGCAAGAAGCACCTTAAATTTTCGTTTGTAGCATGCAGTATCCATTAGACCGGCTGTATGAATGTAAGGTCAGATAATAAACGTGGAACGAAAATGCATCATGCTGCCTACCTTGGAGGTTGGCCCCCTGAAGCACTTCGGTCGTCTTCTTGATCTGGCAAAGTTGTTGACAGACAATTTGCAAAAGTTGCCCCTCTATGATCAGATAGTTGTCTACATGAAGCACTTTGAAAAGATGAACGACCCCAGTCACTATTCTAGAAGGGAGAGTCCGGATTTCGCGAAATTAGGACTCAAATGTGGGACCCCAAAAGCACAAAAAGCTGGGAGCTTTTGCTGGAATTGACCGCGTGTTGGGAAATCTTGTCACTTTAGAGTTTGAATTCTGGGATTGCAGCTGAAGATCAAAGATCATGTAACTGATTCTAGAATTGGAAAGGTGGTGCATCTTAGCAAACTGTGTTCCTACCTGAGGCTCTTGGATTCTAGAATCCAAACAAAGTGGGAAGTTTTTTGACCAAGTAGCAATCGTCCATCCCAAAATTCACCCAGAAAGGTTGGAAATTCGAAGACCAATTCCAGCCCCTTGATTTCGGCTGGCCGGGGGTTCTGAAGCAGACATTCCTAGGGGGTGCATCTTGAGGAGGCGTTCGTTTCAATTTCAGAATTATTGTAGATGATGTATGATATAGGGTTGCCAGTTGATGGATTCGGAAGCATCCGTTCAATCGAGTACAGGATCCACATCCGACAAAGGAGGGGATAACGAAACTCTGCGACCAATTGCATCAGGTGAAGCTGCTTTGCGCAACCTGTTTCAAACGGGCAAACGGGCTGAGACAACTGTTCTACAATATCTGAACAGTGTGCGAATGATTCATACTCTAGTTACGGGCAATAAGGTGTTGCCTTCCACGTTAGATTGGATGAAGGATGCATCTATCATCATTGAAAAGCTCGACCAGGTCTACAAAAATCCTGGAACGTTCAAAAATAAGCTGACCCCGTTAATGGTCATTGCTCACGAAAAGGGATGGGAATGCGCCTATAAGAAATACTTCGAGAGCTTCTCAGAGAAGAAGGCGGTCCAGATGAAGAAGGCCGATGAGCAAAAGGCTACCGAGAAAGAGGCTTCCAACTGGATAAGCATAGACGAGCTCAAAAGCAAAGCGGAAGAGCTCAACAGACACATCCGGAGGAACATAATGCCAAACTTAAAAGATAACGGTGCAAGTCTCAGCAGAGACGAGATAAAGTGCGTTTTCCAGCACTTGTTGATCGCAAGCAACCTTCATGAGCCACCCAAGCGACGAGATCTGAGCGGACTTCCTCTCCAAAAAGCGGACGGAAGCTTCTACTGCGGTGAAGCCGAAAAGACGTATAGGGATACCGGCAATTGTCTACGAGAAAGCACAAGTGGGGAGTTTTCGCTTGTGCTTAAAACTTATAAGACGTCGAAAAAGTACGGGAAGAAAGAGTTTGAGCTTTCACAGCGTCTCAATAACTACATTCGACGGTCGATCGAGTTGGTTCCTAGGGGTTTTTTGTTATCGCGGCTTGGGGATACGAATCAAGCTATGTCCGATAACTATTTGACCAAGTTCATCTCCTCAATTACCTTTCCAAACGGAAAGCGATTGAATCAGAATCATCTGAGGCATCTTTACATTAGCGAACACTTCAAAAACGATCATTCGATTGCTGAGAGGAAGCAGTTAGCTGAGAGGATGTTGCACGACTGGGGGACAGCAATGGTTACATACGAGAGAAAGTGATCAGCATTGAGCCAGAGTTGAAGAATATCACCCCGATGAGATCAGTAAAGTTGGGTCAGAAGCCCAGGATCCGTCCCAATGGACTTCATCGACTCTCAAACGAACTTCTTGCAGCCGTTTCTCCAGTTCGTTCCTAGTTGGAAAGATCAAGCCGCGACCACAGGTGTCTTTGTAACCATCCAGTCCAAGTGTCCGTTTGATACGACCAATCAGCACATCCTTCTGCTGTGGCGGATCCTCTCTTGCGCCCTGATTGTCTATGAATGACCTGTAAGTTCGGAAGATGGTGGCACTTAGCACCTTGGTCTTTGAATCTGATGAAAAGTTGCCGTTATCTAGCAACCCGCAAATCATCTTTGCCCAAAAGGGAATCGAGTGCTCTCTTAAAGCCGAACTCCACTTGCTTTTTGGGATCTGCTTGGGGTTCCAGGTGTTGATGCCTTCTCTTGACATCAAGTACCGGTAGAAGTGTTCAGCTGTAGTGGTAGTGAGGCTTTCACAAAGCCGATCAAAGTACGGTTGATCTCCGATTCTAGAGTCGGAGGCCTCAAAGCATGCATACCTTCTGTCTGTCGCTTCTTTCTTGATGGGCCAGTCCTCGTTCGTATTAAACCAGTAATTTGCAAGGTCGGGTACTTGAAGGGGATCGATTCCTTTCTTTTCAAGGATCGTCGAGTCTTGGGTGATCAGGCTTTTCAACCGATTATTGCTTTTGTAGGCTCCACCCCAACTGCTCACTTCATCGAAGCATACCAAAAGAAGGTTTGCGGCTATTCCGTTGAACTTGCCAATGACCTTTTCCATATCGTTGCAGTACAGATAGTATCGCGATCCGATGACATGCTTACCCACAAAGTCAGTGATTATGCTTTTGCCTGCGCCTTGGTCAGACCTGAAGACCAAGGCTGTTCCGATCTTCTTGTACGGCTTCTGCACAAGATGAGCTAACCAGTTGAGAATGTATTCCGCTACAGCAGGATCGTTGTCAGCAAGTACTTCGTTGATGTGCTTCAAGAGAAGATCAATTTGTTTCATGTCAACAGGTTGATTCGCTTCGTGAGCCTGGAAGGGAAAGCCGTAGAACAGGTTGTAGTTATCAGGTGAAACCATACGAGAGTTCGTTTCGAAGACTACCTTGTTGAGAGTCCTTCTCGCTGATGACTTGCACCACACCTTCCCAAGGTTGCCGATTTTGACACTATCCAGGTTGAATGATTCGGACCGTTCCAGAAACTCAGCTCTTGTACGAAGGATGCTGTCATTTGGCACCCAAGCAGTACCTCTTTCAATGAAGATGGTCTCGATAAAGAGTACTTTTGAGCTGCCGTCTAGAACGCAGAAGTAGTGGTTCATTGTGTCGATAGCAATCTGTGTGAGTTGCTGACATAGTTGCTGATACTGCACTTTGTCCACAGTGCTTTTGGCACTGATTATAATTCTCTCAGCTTCTTCAATAGGGCGCAGATCAAAGCGTGCTTTTGAAGTCAAAAGCGAACGCCAATGGTGCAGCCCGAGAAAAACTCTCGGTCGTTCTTTGCATCCTGTTGACAAACAGCGGTACTCCATGCAGATCCCGTTGCAGATGATGCTGAAACTGTTGCTCGTGTGTTCCTCTCCGTAAGGGCAGATCCTGCTGTCCTTCACTCTGAACTTTAAGATGGCTTCCTCATCTCGACGCTTGATGCCTCGGTAGAAACTTGTTTGATCGTTGCATCTACTTCGCAGTAGCTGCGTTGCAACTTGGATTGCCTTTTCGGCCTCGACGGAAGAGGTTGTTTGCTGAGACGAGAGTTCTTTGGTGATTGTCTTGTCCGCTTTTGCTTTGCTGACAATTGATGTATCATTGCTGGAGGGTTTTGCCGACCCTTGGGCAGCTTGCTTTGTGGAGTCTTGAGAGTTAAGGATTTCTACGAGCCACAACGGAAGGCAGGCAAGCTTCGTCTTCCAAGGAGAGTTTAGCCATCTGTATGAATGCTCTTCACCGTCACGAATGATGGTAGTTGGGGGTGCGAAGCAGATGCCATTGCCTCTGAAATCGATGGTCGTTTGGGTGGAGTTGATGCATAGCTTGGTCGCGTCTGCCTTCCGTTCAAGCCCGGGGGAATCCGCTTTGAAGTAGTAGTGCAAGCCGCCACTCTGTGTTTCGGCTGTCCAGGTGATGGGTTCGCCGTGGTCTTGTGTCAATCGTTTCCAGACATCAAGACCATTAGCGACGGCTTTGCTTTCATTCAACTTGGGCAAGTCGATATCAACCATGACAATGCTATTTGGTCCCGGTCGTCCGCAGAGCAGGGCAAGGGCATTCTTGTCGGAACAATCACGAATAAGATCTTCGTGCAACCCCCAGGAAGCCTCATCCACGATGCTTGAGTAAGAGCACCTAAAGTTGCTTGCGTCCTTCTTCCTTTCCTTTTTGTTCCATGTAAGCTTGAGCGTAACCGGCAGGAGATGAAGGCTCCGATACGATGAGATGCTTTCATTGAGGTCCGGATTCATCTTAGGGCTGGACACCCCCTATGATAAGTACTAAGGAAAAAAGTTTTGATCGGAATCTGAACGCACTGAAATTCTGACAGTGAGCTAGGCCCCTTACTGCACACTGAGTACAATTGGATCATCTGAGAGGGTAAACTTTGAGGAACGTGCTATGGATAAGCGCACATCATTTGAAGATACTAGCATGTCTCACTTATTGGCCTTGAGTGGCGGTTGCCAAGTTCTTGCACATATCCGGCGTCTACAAGCTTTGCTAAAGTAGAGGGCCGAAGAGTCTTGCCATTCGAATACCTAATCAAAGCTTTACGCAAGCAGATTTCGGCCTTAGCCTTGTCGTAATGCTTTTGAGACCAAAGTCGATATTTGTCGAGATTGGTCTGCCGATAGCGCATCTCATACAGCCGCCGCTGATGATTGGCATCATGATTTCTCGTCTCGGAAACAACTGACATAGACATCTAGCAACGTGCTTTCGTCTACCTTATTAGACGAAAAGAAGATACTTGCATGCCCCCTGACGAATCGATGCTCAAGCTTCGACACCTTGGACACCTTGACCGCTCGCTATTTCGTCATGTGAGGGGTTTTTGAAAATCGATATCCATGACTTGCAAATAGCTGCCAAGGTGTCCAACGTGCCAGGATGGTGAAATCGTGTAGTGCACTCGTAGTGCAATCATGCTGTTATGTATTATCATCAAGTATAATAAAGAGGTGCCAGTGTGTGTTCTAAGTCTTGTTCCTCGTCCCTACATGAACGATAGCTCCCCACACGCTTGCGGGAAAGCTCAACAGCTATCTATCAACACATGGTCTATCACCTGTACAAGAGAGCTGCGCGAACTGCCGGCGACCACTGATCAACCCTGGCTGCTATTCTGATCTTCTGGTCATCAACACGTGTCAACTCTGCGTTGCGCCCGCTCACTACGTTAGCTAGAATGATCATGAAGGACTCGAGAGCGGAAAACCAAGCAAGCACCTTGAACTTTATCAGGAAGGAGTTGACGCTCTCCACCGCTGAAGTGTTAACCCAGCGCACAGCGTCGTATAAATCAGGATTGTACTGAGGGCCACACTTGTGCGCCTCCGCGCCAGTCTTCTGAAAGTGGAACCTGCACGCGCGTAATTGGACAGTTTGGACACGGGACGGTTGCTGACGTCATTAGAAACGGGGCTCCCAGAAAGTCTCGGTGGTAAAAGCTCAGACACTTGGACACGGGACGGCTGCTGACGTCATCAGAAACGGGCTCCGAGGAAGATATGGCAAGAGCTTGGATAGCTGGACAAAGGACGGTTGCTGACGTCATCAAAAACGGGATTCGAGAAAGATCTGGCAAAAGCTTGGACAGCTGGACAAGGGACGGCTGCTCACGTTATCACAACCGGGCTCCCAGAATCTGGCAAAAGCTTGGACAGCTTGGACACGGACGACAAGTGGCAGAATGACGCTCAAATGTATCCTGGAAAAGTGTTGATTATCTCGTCCTAGACTAACAAACAATCATTCGAAACCATGGACGCGTATGCGGTTTTTGTACTTGCCGGTCAACCAGGCATCGCATGTCTGCAAAAAATGCAGGCTCCCTCCTCATGCTGTACGCGCGCAGCTTGCAGGCGTTGTCGTAGAAGAGAAAGGAAGGCAGATTGTGCCGCTGGAGGCGGGTGTACAGCACCGCGAACGGATCACGAGGAGACTCCCCCCGGAGCATCGCATGGAACCCGTAGATCACCCTGTGAGAGCAGCAGAAGACGAACCCCCCCTTTGTGTGCTTCTGCAGCCGCTTGCCCGCCTTCTCACTCTTGGCCGCCGCAACCTTGGCATCAAACTCCCCGACAGTGAGACCGCTCTTACAGCGGTGCTCCTCGCTGCTCTCGACCGCCAGACCAAGGTCATTTTCAAACGGCTTGTACTGGGGCAGGGGCCGTTTCTGCTCCCAACTGGGGAGGGGGTAGCAGCCGAGCGCGTTCTGCTCTTGGCAGTAAGGGTGGTCTTTGGGGAGCGCTTCGAGAAGCCGTCCGTCCGGGGAGAGACCCAGCCGATCGTGCAGCAGCTCGCGTTCGGCTTGGTTAAGGGCATACTCGAGGGGGGGTGGGGGGCGCAGAGCCTCGACGCCGGGGAGCAGCCGGTTTGCTCTTCCTCTCCAGAACGTGTAGCTCTCCTCTCTCTCTTCGTTCCAAGACCCTGGGACCTCCCGTCGCAACTGCAGCAGCCAAACGCAGGCATCCAACCCTTCGATAGCAGACAGCGCCCATCCGGCTCGACCGACCCCCAGCCCGACCGCCCCGCGTCCGAACAGCGTCAGTCGGTATAGATGATGGAGCGTGGGAAAAAAGAAGGCCGGAAACACTTCGTCGTAGTTGTCCAGCACTCGACGAAGGATGGGCGCATGCTCTGCCAGCACGGCCTTGCCCCCCTGGTCTACTGGACCCCCCAACAGTATCGCCCGGACAACAGCAAGCGCCCGCCAATGCTGGATCAGATTGCTGTCGTCGCTGACGGTTTGAGGGGACCCCAGAGCGTACAGCGGTTCCGCCCACCACTTTCGCGGCGACCGCACTCGACCGTTATTGGCGCCCGGAGTCTCCCCCCGGATCCCCTCCAACAGCAGCCGTGCAGCTCGGTTCTTCGATCGAATCTGCCCGATCTGCTCCTGCAGAAGGCGCCTCCTCCAGTGCAGCAGGATGGGCTCTGCGTCCGCATCGTCCGGATTGGCGACGAAGTCGGAGACGAGTTCCACGTCATCGCGATCCAGCGCAACCTAGGTAGAAGTCAAAGATGTCAGACGCCCTTCGTCCAGGTTTACCGAGCTCTTCATAGGCATATCATTCCGAAAACCTAGACCGATTTCAAGGCTCCACTCGAAGACCTTGTTGCGCTCTTTTTAGTCCCACTGCAACAACCTTGGCTAAGCATCAGAAGGATTCATCGCGCATATACGGAGCAGACTGGCATCAAAGAGCGTGCGCAACTTGCGCTCGGATCGCTCCAAAGTCAACGTCAGATTCAACTCTAAGGTTGCCACAGAGACTGAAAAGCTCCGCAGTTTGAGTTTAGGGTCCATAACTCTGCTTGAAGAGAGTTATGTCGTGCACATTTGTCAGAACTCTAGCAGTTTTGGCGAGGGTGTTGTCCGTTCAGTGTGGGAGGGGAAAAGGGTCTGGAGCCACCTTCTGGCACCTTTCTTTATTACTTATAATGTAAGTGTATATAGGAATGGTACACACTTTTCAATGGTTTGGCACCATGGCACCATGGCACCTATTTTCAATCATGGAACTTTCCATCAAGGAACTTTCAATCATAAAACACCTGAACGAATAGAAAACAAGAGGCGCCAGTGCCATGGTGCCAGTGGGTGGGAAACTTACAAAGATGTTTTTGATCACAAGATTTGTTCCACCTACCAGCAGCTCTTGGAATTCGCCCTCGCTCAGCTGCGCGCCCAGGTCCGGGTCCTTCGGATGATGCTGGCTGTACCGCGCCAGCAGAGCCCGCAGCTCCGGCTGGTGGATCAGGCGCCGCTTCAGCCCCCGCCCCTCCAATGCAGTCGCGCTGAAGTTCACACCGGCTTCCATGTGCTTGACGACAGTCTCCCCCGAACTGTTCCGGCTTGGAGCCGTGAAAGGCCGGAGTTCGCTTGCCGCCGTCCCCGCCAACCCGCCTTTCGATCTGCTACCGTCCGCGCACGCTAGCCCGGCGATACCATCGCAGAGCAGAACGTCTGGGTGAGGGCCACAGAGGCTGCAGCACTCGAGGATGCTCTGCCCACACAGCCGGAAGAAGGCCAAGCAGACCTTTCGCCAGGACTCCTCGCTGAGGAGGGGAGCGGCCCCCGGCGAGAAGCGCCCACGAACCGATTTCTGTGCGCTGATCAGACCGCTGAAGGCTGATCCGGTCCCTTGAACAATACGGAGCAGAAGCTGGCACGACTCTTGCGTGACGATTATGGCCCTGCTCCACGCGTACAGGCCGAGCGCTTCCCCGTTGAAGTGGACGGTGTGCTTCACCGGGCATCTGCAGCAGTAGATCCGAACCTTGACCTGCGAGGATGTGCGCGCGCTTAGCCAACATAATTCATTTCGGCTCTGCACTCGTCCACGTTCTGTCTGAGGCACAGTTTCTGCTGAAACTAGAGTGTGCTCAAACCGTCGTCCAGTCTTTGCCAATGTTTGCCAAACCGATCGGATGCAAAAACATGGACAACTTTTCGAAGCTCTTCGCTCAGATAACCGGAGTCTCGTATGCGCTCTGCCACAGTGAGCGCGCACAAGTCTGTGTCTCTGATGCAACTTGAACCGCACCAGACCAATCGGAATGAGACACGTGGAAACGCCTCGTGCTGACACGTGGCAGGCACCCTCGCTTCAAGCTGAGAGGCTCTCAGTTGCAACAAGAACGAGCACCTTCTCGCTTTTACTTTGGCAAAGGTTTGCATCACGTACCTCTTGCGACCATTGCAGTGAGTGCACGCATGCGCTCTGCAGCAACGCTTGCCACGCGGTGCCACAGGGAGCCAGTTCAGGCTTTGGGCAGGGTGCAGACAAGCACCCCACGGCGCTCAGCTCCTCGAAGTCCCTCTGCACGAGCTCGCTCACTCTCACTGGCCGCCGCAGCGACGTCACCAGCGGATCGTGCACCTCGAAGCTGTCAGTCGGCCGGACCAGCTTGGGGAGCTCGAGCTGCACACTTTTCGCGTCCAAGGGCAGTACGGGAGCCCAGAGCGGATTCCCGGCAACATGGGGGCAAGCCAAAGCCGGGCATACGCAGCTTGCGCACACTCTGGTTACGCCGCTCATGGCGTCCCTTCCGTCCCCTCCACTCAACGTCTGCGGCGCGGTGTGCGTGGGCACAACCTCCTCCTTTTCAGCTTGCAGCGCGCCTGTTTCCTTCAGCTGCCCACCGCCCTCCTCTTCCTGAGCTGCCCAAAATGCTTTAGACCTCTTTGGCCCCCGTCCAGAGCAACGGTCTCCCGACTCCTGTCTTCCTCTCTTTCCCCCGACCTCGTTCGTATTCGTTTCGAGTTTGCAGCACCCGTCCTTGCAAGTCCCTCGCTCAAAATCAACCCCTCCGAAGAGCTGCTGGTGCTGCTTACAGAAGCACGAGGCCCCTTTGCAGCTTGCATCATGAGGCTGGCCCACGCAAAGCTCCATCAGGTACCGTTCGACCGAAGACATGTCGGACGACACTTCTGCCGAGCCTCCCTCTTTTGACTCCGGCGCCCCTTTTCTCTCCTCCTTCCTGTCCGTTTCGAGCAGCCAGGCACGTGCCCTTGCCAGTTGATCCTCGGAGAACAAGCAGCCGCTCAATATCTCGATGCTTCTGCCCGGACAGAGAGCGTCTTTGACGGCTCGTATGTGGTCGCAGTCTCCAGACGTGCTGCAGCCCGACAGCTTGCCGCCCTCGCAGTACCACTCCTCCCGCACGCCCTCATTCTTCAAATGCACCATCGTCCGCTTGGGCGAAGGGGAAGCCGCGTTCCAGTAGACGCCAAAGACCCGCTCAGGCCCTCTGCTGCAGGGAACCTCGATCACCCGCCTGCCCTTCTGGAGCGCAACGTGGTTGGCTTGCTGGCGCGACCCCAAGGCTTCAAGCGCCAACTTGTGAACGCATGGAGCATCCGGACCCAGGCGCCCGCGGTCGCAGGTGCAGCTGGCCTTCCCCAGGGTGTCCCAATGGACCGTTTCGAGCAGGGCTTTGTCTTTGCTCGGTCGTCCAAGCGGCTTTGGCCTGCCATAGTTGTGGTTCCAGACGGTCATGAGGTAGGCCAGGCCAGGGGAACCCTCCTTTCCCCGTTCAGAACCGCCCCCCAGCTCATAGATTGAGCATGTTCCGTTCTGAATGCCAGCAAGGAACCTCGTCGCCTGAGAGGTGAGAGAAGAAACTGCGGCGCCATTGGCATGGCAGCGCTCCTTGCTGTCTGAACTCTCGGCACCTGACGAAGAGGGTTCTTCCTGCAGGCAACAGCATTTGAGTAAGCCGAGCATAAAGTAACAGGTAAGCTAGCCGCAAAAGGCACCAATAAAAAGGCAGCAATATCTAGGCTCTAAAAAACATGTGGTACTTGCCGGCCACAACACAGTGTGTAGCTCTAGGTTCAGTCAGGTCGCAAATACAATTTTGCACTTGAAAAGAAATTTGAGCGAGCTAAGTTTCTTGTACAGTTGTTCTCTGTGTGGTGAATATGCAAAGGCAAGAGAAAGAATGGTGGCCTGACACCTTCTGGCACCTTATTTATATACTTGTAAAATGCAATACATACACACATTTGCTCTGCATGACTTATGTGGCTTGGCACCTATGGCACATTGGCACCTCATTTTCAATCATGAAACTTTCCTTTTTCAAAAAACCCCTGACTGAGAAAAAGCAAACAGTCGTGCTGTCGGTGGTGCCATCCAAACTGAGACCACTTTCAGGGCACGTCGTCAGATTTCTGAGGGGTCAAAGCCAAATCAGAACCTCACTGCACATTCAAGGACTCACGTGCAACTTGCGTTTGACGTTTGCTCCAGCAGCTTTTCCCCTGTTGAGCGCGCTCTTTGCAGCGGATTTGGCTACCTTGCCTGTAACTGATTGTTTGCTTATTGCTTCCTGCGCTGCCAAGCCTTCTACATAGCTGCTTGTGAGCTCTTTGACCTGCTTCCACGGAGCGTTCTGCGATTCACGCTGGAACCACGTCTCAGCTACCTGCTTTTGCTGAACTGTCACTGAGGTCTCAGCCAGATGAACGCTGCCGGACCAGCGTTGCACGCATGAAAGACACAATGGCTGAACCCGCTGTTTGCATTTCACGGCTGAGGAGATGGCAAAACCCCTGAGAGACTGTTGGAATTTGCGGAAAGTTATCCTATGATTGACCAGGAGGGGCTGTCTGCAGAGCACGCATTTGCTAGCTACAGGCGTTTCACTGGATAGAAGGGTCGGATCAACAATGTATCGTCCAGTCTGCAAACTCTTCTGGTCCTCAAAATCTAGTCTAAGAGTTGGGGGGTCCCTCTTCTGAGATGGCATGGTCCCTGGTGCGCTGCCTTGGCTCGGGTTGCGGCTGTCTGCAGGCTTCGAGCTACGGAATCTGATAAAACCGCTTTGATTTATGTGGGAATTTATAGCCTGCCGGTCAAGGCTGCTCCGGCCTTGATCATAGTATTTCCCTCCGACGACTGGTCGACTGCCGCCTGCCAATCAGCAATACTACGTAGTTTATCTCGTTTTTAAAGCCTGCAACGTGGTCGAAGTGGTATTTAAAGCGTGCAACGTAGGTCGTTTCTGAGCGGTTCTATGAGCGGTTATACCACGTGGTCGACCCGGCCGGAGTAAAAGATTCCCTGGTTCCCGGACTCGCAGCCCGTCTCGCCCTGGGGGGTGCCGTACCTGCATTCCTCTACGGCACAAGCTTCCTAAGTAACGTCAAAGTGCCGGAACTCCAACCTTTAGCGCGTGGAAACCGTCCGATCCGGCAGTGGACTTCTGCGACGAATCGCAGCCGCTAATTTTATGCCAACCATCTGTTGGTGCCCCCCAAGCGAACTTCGGGTGACACGTCGTAAAGTTCGTTAGCTTAAGTTGATATTGACGGCTGGGAAAGTCCGGATAACTCTCAAGAAAGATAATAGTAAGCCAAGATAATAGTAAGCTCCGACTAACACTAAGAACCCTAACCTTAAATGAACACCCGCTCCGCAGCCGTACCCACCCTAACCACCATACTAACCCTACCCGTCACAGTGCGGTTACCTTACTATTATCTGGGCTTACTATTATTTTCTTTGAGTTTCATAAAGTCCGGCACCTGCAATCTGTGGCCACAACTTTATTACTTGAGCCACGTGGACACGAATCATGTGGAGGAAAAGCAATGATGACCCCCAATTGTGCTTGAAACCCTAATCTCTGCCTGAGTGTTGAACTTGCAGATTGCAATGCTGCAATGCAGCAAATCCAGAAAACGCCTGACAGGCCTGAGAACGCCCTCGATAATTTGTTAGCTACTTCGTGAAAGAAAGGTGAGTCAGTAAGACTCAGAGATGAACAGAAGGTTGAAGCTGAGCTGAACGAGCAGTACGACCCTCGTGCGATGAGGGTGCAATGGCTCATTTCATTTCATAACAAAATGCAAGCACACTTGACCAAGGCTTAAGTGGACCCATCAATATGACAGCAGCAAGGAGCTGACTCTGCTGAGACAGATCGATCAGGTTCTTAGTGAACTTCGTATGGGTCTAGTGGCTGGTAAACCAGCGAGAAAGAGTGAGGCAGCTCCTGAGCTTCAGTATCTGCCACCCCCCCTGAAAGCCGGTGACAGTATCAGCGTCATTTTTCCTGCGGGTTACGTACGTGAGCAGGCCGTGCTTGACTGGGGGTTGCAACTCCTAAAGAAATGGTGAGGTGCAGGTTCAAAGCTGCAAGAGAGCTTAGATTGTGCTTTCAAGCTGCGAATGCTACTAATTTTGAGTCATGTAAGCTTATGGAAGCCAAAGCCAGCAGATCTATTAATCTGTTTGACCAGCTGCACATTCCATGCTGAAAGTCTGTCAGTGCATACACTGTGATCAAGTGCAATGCCATCAGTATAGTTGAAACCCAAATCTGCCTGAACTTCAACTTAGTACGAAGCGCTAATCATTCATATCTGCAGTTAACTCCGGCCTGTTGCAGTGCCAATTGAAATCAGATCTTCCAGCTTTCTTGTTGATTCGAGTCTGTGCTGGTTGATGACAAATCTCAGCCTCTGTCCAATCACAATCAAGATAATGTGATGCTGATGCTGGCTAACAGCCAAGGTGGAGAGTTCCAAAAAAGGTTGTCTTATTGGGTTTGAAGCGGCAGTCAGGTAATGCAAGATTTGCCGCACCTGCAGGGATCTCAACCCAGTCTTCCACCAAGACTTGGATGCCAGGCTTGGCTACCTGGCCGGATCTGACGCCGCTAGAGCTCAAGCAGTCATTGACGCGTTCACGAGTAGTGCCACAAAGGCCGTGATATGCGGACAAGGCGGATATGGCTGCACACGGATACTCCCCCTCCTAGAAGGAAAGATTCCTACGGAGGCCCTCAAGAAGAAGCGCTTCTTTGGCTTCAGCGATGTCACGGCTCTGCACAGGTGAGGAACGAGCCACATTTCAGGCTGCCTCGAGCCTATGTCTTTTCTTTGGAGGCATTGGTTGCTCTGAAAGTTCTTCAAAGCCACTATTCTGAAAGTATTCATGATGAGGCACTCTTGACAACATGGAGAACATGAGCGCTTCAACACTCCGGGCCCACAAGGACTGCTGCTGGTAAGGTGGCTCCACGCCATCCATTGCCAACATTCAGCTTGAGTCGTGCTGACCCCCTTCCTTCCTTTGAAACCACTTCTAGCAGATCGTATGTTCCACAGGGGGCAACTAGAAAGTCTCCCTCCTTCATTACTCTGGTAAGCTCTGAAAAATGAGTTATTCACCAAAGTTAGTCAGGGACTAGGAGCAAGTTGATTGGAAGGCGAAATCCATTGGTGCAGCTTACCACAGCCCTCTGGCATACATTTGAGTCGATTATGTCCACGTTCTGCAAATACGGTGCCTGCGACCAGATCCGAATGTTTCTTTCTTTCTGCAGCTTCTTCCAGCGCCAGCTCCCCGGTCTAGTTACATTCCACTCGCCCATGCCAGCAACGTCCCTCCTCGCCCAAGGCACTAAAGACAGCCAAGACGCCTTATATGACGCTCTTTTTGGGAAGGCTCTTGCGCTGGCATGCCCCGCCCTCCATGGGCGGACACTGCAAATTGGCCGAGCGGAGGCTACAGGAGGAGTCGTGACGGGTAGAGTGGTCGGAGGCAACCTGACGCTTGTGACCGCTCTGGTTGGAACGCCTTGGGAAGTGGACATGAAGGGCGCCATCTTGCTAATCGAAGACGGTGAGAAAATTTGAAATTGTTCCGGGTACTTTCGTGGCCCCACTGCCCGATGATGGGCCCGTCGGATGCAGATGTCAACTTTTACCCCCACATCAACCTAGACGTCAATGTAAAATAGCCGATTACGAGGAGAGACCATCGTAGTCCCAGTATAGTCCCTCCGTTGATCTTATCGATCCTGGCCTACGAGGCTGTTTGATGATTCATTTCTTTGGTCAATCTTCCGCTTTCTCTTTGATGCTTCGAGGGGTGACGACGGGCTTAGTCGTTTTGAGGTCTTGTGGGCTGCGCTTGTAGAGGAATGAAAGCCTCAATGTCCCTCTGTTCATGGACTCTGCTTGTCGCATGCCTGCGGTTCAACCGGTTGCTGGATTCCAGTCGCTCAGTCAACCGTTACTTTGAAGGATAAGATCGTCTTGAAGTTCGACCCGTGATTTGTCGGATGTGAGACTGCAATCCTTTGAGGCAATTTTTAAGCCGATCAGTAAGGCTGTGCCCTGTCGTTCTGGTCCTTCCAAAGGACAAACCTTGGTCCATCGAATACAACGTTGATCCGGTCGCCTTGTTGACTCGAATATTGCAGTTAACGAAGCCGGATATAGAATAGACCGTATGCTTACGCAGTTAAATCAGGCACACGGAGGTAAGTTGTTCGAGCTCATAGCTGGCTTAGTCGTAGGAGACGTTGGAGACGATTTAATCGACGACTCAAAGCAACTCGGAGATGATGTGGACGAATCGGACTGGTATTGGCTGAAATTGTTGGGGCTTCCTGCGACCCTCCCCATACTTACCGAGATACCAATCGGTCATATTAAAGAAGCCAAAACAGCGGCCTTGGGAGCAAACGGCCGACTTGACCTTGTTGGACAGAAACTTATAGTAGGCGTTAATGATCTTCTCTAGCCGTATTAAGGCTTCAACACGGCTGCAATCAATATGCAGTCGCATCCCTTCAAGGTATAGACGGTCGAGGTCAAGTTGTAAATAGATTATTGCTTGGAGTAGTATATGCCATGGGCAGAGTAGGTCGGAAACTTGACAAATATCATATTGCTAGGTTTGCCAATGTCATGCGGGTCGGCCGGGTGGCATGCGGCTAACACGTCGCGCTTTTGAAAAGATTGGTTATGGTGAAAAGTTGTCGGCCGGACGTCCCTCGGACGGGCATTGGTCGAATCCTGATCGTTTTGACAGCCGCAACAGTCAGTGACTAGCTTTTGGGTTCACCAACTATACGACTCTACTCTAGTAGGTACGTAGTCAAAGGTTGTTGCCTGAATGTTGCGTTTCGCATTTGTTGCAAATGCAACTTGAGCACAGCTAGCTATTTGTGCTTGTGCGAGCTGCGACCTGACCGTCCGTTCGGGCGGCCAGCAAATGAAGCAAGCCGAAGCCAACCGCTTATCAATTGGATAATCTGGATTTGGCGCTAGACAGCCACGCCCAATGCATTAGTCGGAAGGTCTAGCGCGCTCAGAGTGTGAGTGGACGAAAAAGAAGACACGAGCAACTTGGATTCTAAGACACAACTGAGCGCTAAATGTTGTTACCGGTGTTCATGATGATGAAGACGTGTTTGCAATATGCTTACGGCCACCTTACGGCTCATGATCCGTCTGAGCGCAGGCTCAGGCTGAGACCTCAATGCGCCGGCTCAGGCATGCGGCCCATTCTATATGACCGAATTGTGTACTAGCCTAGCCGCCGGCGGCGCTTTGCTATGAAGGCTAGCCTCTTTCGAGCATATACTGAGCTCAAACAACACTGGCACGTGCGGTTAACTGTATTCAATTTATACCGAGCTAATGATGTCCCCCGACAAGAAGAGTAGATTAGAGCGTCGTTGCCGCTTAATTCAACCTGCGCCTGCACCGTGACACAATCGTCTGTACCGGGCCCACCGATTCATGTATATAATATCTTGTTCTTAGCTCAACTGCAATAAGAGAATTGCATTCTTGGCCCCACCGTTGATGTATGAATTCAAGTCGTCGGATTCTATATGAGTCCGCCATTTGGTCGGATGTTGGATGTAGATATCTGCCTCCTGTACTAGCTAGCTTAGCATGTCAGTGTGTGAATGGAAAGCATACTAGGATGTGCTAAAATTCAAAAAATGGGCTACGTCATGCATATGAATTTAATCAGAAGAACATCAACGGCACAACAGCAACTGATTGGCGAATCTACCGTACCGGAACTTAGTACTAGCTAGCAGAAGAATCATAATTCACCATGCATATCTAATGATACACGCATGCGGGCCCGCGGCATGGCTATTGCGGCAGTTCGAACTGCCGCAATAGATGGTAACTTCTCATTTATTAACGCCCTTAGCCACATCAGAGCCATGGAGCACGGTCTCCGGCAGACCCGGGATAGTTTGTTGACTCTACATGCAGCTTGCTACAGCTATAGATCTAGTACTTGAATGTGTGTAACAAGTGCATGCACCATGTGCCACTAGGTCTCATTGTAGGCACGTACTGCATCGCACTACAATGATGTAGCCGGCAATAAGCTCTAGTATGCAATGGCTCCGCTCGAGCCTAGCCGCTTCGCCGGCAATTGCGTGATCAGTCAGGCTCCTGGCAAACATTTGATTGGAACGGAAAACATTGAGATCATAAGTAAACTTTAAAATCATAACCATTCAAGCGTCACTGAGTTGCATAGGCATTGCAGGCCTAGCAGGTCTAGCTACAACTCTCCGTTTCTGATGGAGCACTGCAACTTGTCACTAGCCTAGTTTAGTACTACTATGGCACTTGATCTGGTCAGGCTCACATGTTCGAGGCAAAAGCCCCCACTAGTTCTACAGTTCAGCAGAATGCTGGCGTTCTCAGTATAAGAGCCGGCCATGCAGCGCTTTCTATGTGGGAACCACAATTTCACATCTAACTTACAGCGTGCAATAGTTACTATTATTCTGTCCGACATGCACTTGAGGCACATTCTTTCCGTTTGTCGCCTGCAACGCATACTCATTTGTTCCGCACAGCACGTAAACTCTATTCCATCTTCAACCTCCAAGACTAACATTCTCAAGCAAACTATTGCCGCTCCCTCTGACCTAGCGAACCCCGCTGTCGCACACCTCCGCCCATCGTTTCTCGCTCGAGCTCAGCAAGGACTGCATCTTCAATCTCCGCCGCAGCTGCGGACAGCCACTTTCTCCCTTCCGGCTTCGGACTATCCCCCTGCGAATTGCCCAACGTCCCGTTGTTTGACTTGGAGACCGATGCAAGGCCAACATCGTCTCGTTTCCGCTTTCCTTCGGGGCTCCGCCTACGGAGCTCCGCTACTGGGGGCAAAATCGGGCGCTGGTCCTGTAACACACGCGGTGACAGCTCTCTAGCGATGTTTGTGCTCGAGCTTCCGGCCGCGGCCGAACCCCCCGGCCGCCTCCCCAGCAGAACCTGGTGTCCGCCCGCAGCGCGCACTTTCTCCAAGTGCGCGCGGATCGCGGCTTCTACTTCCCGCGGGAACCGCTGGTGGATATTCAAGCTTTGCGACTCGGCGGGGGGCTGGGCACGGGGGGCCTGCGCTGGCAAACCTAGCTGAAGGGAGAGGTCCAGCTCGCCCCCTCGTTCCGACGGGCGTCTCGGGGAGTGCTCGGGCGCCAAGCGGCGGCCCTCGGCGCGCGCAGCCAGCGCGGCCCTTAATGCATTCTCCGACGGCCATTGACTGGCGGGAGGTTCTCGGAAAGTTGGCCCTGACGTCAGTGGGCTCTCAAAGGCGAGCCGCGCAGCGGGTTCTTGGAGTGCTGGACCTGAACATGACAACGAAAAACCAGCTGAGTATGGAAAGGCAACGAGGGGACTGACAAACCACAGTCTAGCGTCAAGAAATTCTTGTCATCGCACTCCTGAGAAAGGGAGACGCCCTGCAGGAATTTGGTGACAAGGTTTCTCTGTCACCCTGGGAAACACTGGTGCCAGGCTGCAGGTGGGGGCACGCTTGCAGGATTTCAGAGGCGTCGGGTTTCGGGGCTTCTTGTGTTGGTAAAACAGCCTCGAAGCAGAACAACCGGGTAACTCGTCCTCAGTCGTCAGGACCTTGCGAATGAGCAGATGGGTAAGCTTTAACATCTGCACAACCTAGTGCCAGAATTTTGTGGATATTGTGAAATCAAAGTCGGAGCAGTATCACATGATCGCATGGTCAAGAGCTAGAATTGTTGTGGACTTTCGGACTGCCTATCTTCCTTAGCAAGCAGGAGAGAACAGTGGTGATTTGAAAGTTCAGGACTTGAACACAGATGCGACCTGACGCTTTTGAGAGCAAACGCTCTGTCAGATGTGATCCAAATCCGCCAATGTGAGCTCAGGAGCTTTTGAAAATGAAGAGCTGAACAGAAAAATTGACGGACTGTACAAGACTCCAAAGCACATCAGAATTCGAGAAAAGAAAAAGTAAGAGAACTGAAAGAAAAAGTAAGAGAACTAAGGAAGAGCATCAATGACATGACGAGGGAAAGATACGAAAGGACGAGAGTAAGGCAACGAGAGGAAAGAGGAAAAGCGAAAGGGAAGAAGTGAAGCAAGGGGTCGCCGCAATTGCAGCCATACCTGCACCCGCTGGATACTGCACACTGAAGCCCCGCACCCGTTGCAATCGCGAAACCTCCTCCTCTCGCTCTACCAACCGCCCCTCTCCATCAAACCGGTGCCTTTGGGAATCAAGACCCTGCCAGCGGATCTCAGCAGGCGTCGCCCGGACTGGGGGCGGGGGCGACGGGCCGAGCCTTGGCGCCCTCTCAGGGCTCCGTGCCAGGGGGGCAGATTCGCCTGGCGGAAACACCCCCCGTTCTTGTAACAGCCGCTCGATCACCAGCTTCGTTTGCTGCATGGCCAGTCTCTCCTCCTCAGTGATGAGCGACCCCCCAATCTCAGCAAGGCTCTTGGGGCTGCGCATAATCTCCGCCGTGGGGGGGCGCTGCCCATACTCATCAGCCACCCCCCCAAAACCTCTGGCCAGCACAGCCCCTCGGCCTTGCATTGACACCGCTTCCAGCTGCGGGGAGACTTGTAGGCTCCCTGCACCCAGCTCCTCCACTCGTGGTGTCATGTTTGACAGCGCTGTCACGGGTTGAGGCTCTGGCAAGGGGGAGGGAACACGGTCCAGATCCTTTTGCGTGCCCTCCCCCGCAAATCCCTTCTGCCGCGCCTTTCGGATCTCCAGTTCCTGAGCTCGCTGCTGGTTGATTCGCTCCTTCCGGCTCTCAATCTGAAGCGAGAGGACACGTGTCGTCAGATGGTGACACTTCTGGGAGGCCAGAACTAATAGAAGTAGTGAATCTTGACATGGTGTCAACACTGGACGCCTAAGGTCAGATGTTATTGCAGGAGAAGAACAGCCTATTTGAATCTCTGTGGTCACTCCCCTTGTTGAGTCAAAAGGACACGTTGCAAAGTAGGCTGGTGCAGAGAAGCAGCTAGCTTGCTTGCGTCTGTCAGATCGCATTGCTGCCGCTGGGGAGCCAAAGTCTTTCTAAGTTTATTCAGCATTGAGGGTTTGGTGTTTAAGAGTCCTGGTTGCTGTCCAGAGTACTGTGAGGCGGGTGATACAGCACTCTGAGGCTGCTGCACCAGTCCACTAGTGCTATTCATTTGCCTGTAAAGAAGCATACAAACAAGAAGTCTGAAAAGTGGTTGGTGTGGAGCATGATGCAGGTCAGCTCCACACATTCTTTATCATCTTGAGCAACTTCACTGTCAAGTGGATCCAAAGAGATACCCTGACAGATTCAGGCCAGAGCACAGAAATCCAATCTGGCCAGTCAGAGTACTGAGCACCATAGCTTATGCCCACACAACTGGTGACCACTCTACTGTGGTCAGGATACCTACTAGTGCGAAACACTATGCACACCCAAGTGGCAAGATTGTCCTGGTGGTCAGAATATTGTCAGTACAGACTGCAAAACCCAGACTCGATTCAGTGACTGTTATAGACTGGATCAGTCCACAGATTCTGCTTATGTCAGAAAGTACAATAAAGGTACAACCTGACATGTAAGCACATGACATCAGCACCCTGGCTCTGACCCAACCTGGTTAAGGGTAAGGGGTCCAGGTTAGCAGAAGGAAAGACAGTTGCTTCTCCTTGTATGATGCTCTATACGCTCCCCGCAACCGGAAGTGCTATAAGAAACACGAACGGTGCTGTTTCAAGAGCATCCTGTGGGGAAGCACAGAAGTTTTCCTACTTGGAAAACCCTTCACCCAACGGCAACTCATCGCTGCATTCTCTCGCGGCGTCCTCTAGTTCTTTGCACAGTCTACGAGCAATGGCACAAGTACTAAATAGAAGCAGAACGGTCACCTTCTGTCTTCGCTCCCTCGCCAGCATCCGTTGCCGTTCCAGCCTCTCGTCAGCAGTCGCCAGCTTGTCCCCCCCAACCTCCCCTTTCTTGCCTGCCCCCTCAGGCAAAACAGGGGTGTTCTTTCCCCCCGAGCTGCTTTTGGGCCTCTCCGATGCCAGCCACGCAGGCAAGCTCCCCTTCCCAAGCAGGGGGTCCAACTGCTCAGCAAGACCGCCTCCCCCACCATCCACATTCTTGAGCACTTCAGCCCACCCCCCACTGCCACCCTCTCTTGCATCATTCTCTGCACGCAAGCTTGCTTGAAACCGCTCGAATCCGCGAGCGGCGCCCTCCTCCTCCAGGGGGGCTTCCTCAAGATTGAACGCCGGGGCTGGCCGCGCCTCCTCAAGCGGCTTCTGCATCCATTTTGGAACCCTCGTCTCTGACTCGTTCACACGGTACTCCATTGCACGTGGCTCCGATGGCCTGCTCATAGTGAGCACTGAGGGGAGCGGCAAATGAGGCTCGATCGGCGAGGGGGCAGCGACTGGGGGCCGGTCTAGGAATGCAAAGACGGTCTGCGCCTCCACACCTTTTGTGGCCACAGGCTTGTAGAGCGTTTTTTGGGGGCCTCCCCGGTCAGGATCTATAGCTCTGGTAAGGGTGTCTCCATCCACGCCCGGTCCCAGATTGGTGTTGACCGGTCCCCTGTCGCTCATGGTGGCAAGCACATGTGCCGACTGCGTCTCGAGCAACTGGTTCAGCTCCTCTAGAGAAGGAAACGGAAAAGCAAAGCGCCCCCGTTGCGGTGGTTCGAAGTCCGTTAGCAGGTCCGGCTTTGAAGCGCGGCGTTGGCTTTTACAGATTCGAGAACCGCCTCTCACAAGAAGCATCTGCAAGAGATGTGCGAGCGCGCCGTCAGCCATGCCAAGTTTCGACGGGACAAATTTGTAGCAGGAAGCGGCAGATGTTTATAAACTGGTTTAAGTGAAGATAAAAATTGAAAGCGGCTTTTGGAGCTATCTGCGAGCAGAACAAACCGGGTGTCTGGGAAGCTTGATCTGCAAAGCACCAAAAGTATCTCTGCAGTCACGAGCATATGATGAGGTTTCAGCTCACTGGCAAGAAGATCCTGGATTTCAGAGCGGTAGCTTCGACAAAGTTCGACCTATTGAATGGGTGAGGAACCCCAAAGTTCGGGAAACCTATTTGAATGCAAAAGCAAAGAGAAGCTGGTGCAAGAAAGAAAAAGTCCTCACTGAGTTGGAAATAAAGTTGCATCTCATGAGGATAATCTTTCCTGCAATGAATATTGAGGAGTTGCCCTGACAAAACGGCTCAGGCCATGATCCAATACCAATCCCTGGATTGCCTGAAAGTTGGTAAACAGAGTCCCATTCGTGACAATATTATGTCAAAAAAGGCTCCAACACACGCGGGGTGCGGTAAAGCAAGCTGCATTTGGTCTATCAAAAGGCAGAGGCTTCTTCTTCAAACCCCCCCTGTGCAGGCAAAGTAGAAGTTGCAACTGGAACGATGATCGTTGAACATACCTGCGCCATGCGTCTTGATCCTTTGAGCTCCTCCAAGCCCGCGATGCTCAGCCGCTGCCCTTCCTGCACATCCTTCCGCTTCTGCCACAACCATCTTGCCGAGCACAAAAAAAAAACCCTGACCCTAACCAGTCCAGGAGCTCATTCCAACCCTAGTTGTTCAAGGACAACCATGTCGCAACCAAAGCAGAACAGACCCGGCAGGCTACAGCTCTGAGGCTTCAAGTTCAGGTACTCCCCTTCCAACTATAACTGCAAGGCAGCTCCTTCGAGGTTCCAAAGGCGCCCAGCCTAGCTGTAGCCTTAGGCTGTACGGTGTTCGCCATCCACAGAAGCAGGGCCTAGCTGGTCAAGAATGACAACTGACACACGAGTGCTTCCCAAGGGCCAGTACCTACAGCTACGGTAGGTACGGGAGGTACTACCCGCAGTAGGCAGTGGGTGCCTACATAGGACCCTGTGGGTACTGCACCCGGTAAAAGCGTTTCTCGATCAGTACCGAAGTAGGTACTGCAGTCCCGTGCACGCACGCGCGGTTTGCTGCCCTGTTGACACTTTGATATCATCGTGCACAGCTTTTGACACTTTAAGGTCAAGACTCAGACGTATAAAAATACTGTTTGCAAAAGTCAGTGCCGTGACCACTTACCGGTTCAAGTTCTTGCGAATTTCAAGATTTTGAACGCTGAAATTGCGCCCTTGCAAACTATCCCGCGCATCTCCAGGTTTGTCTCAGGTTTCAAGCTTTCAGCCCGTAAATATAAGCAGCCAGAGCTGTGCCTATACGGTATTTCCACGTTCTGCGCGCGGTTTTAGGTAGGCGCTTGTCGCTAGCTGGCCGCGCCCGTTTGAATTCAAATTCAATATCGGGGCAGAATGTGCTCGCTTGCGCGTTTCTCTTTTGCAGGTGTCTCGCGCGCAAGCTTCGCCTTTGCTTGCCGCATTGCCACCTCAGGTTCAAGAATTAATTGCATTTTCGCGTGCAATAAGTACTGGTAAATTAATGGCATGACAAGTTGCATGCAATCCGACCGCCGTATGAAAGGTAGTTTTGTTTCCCGACGAGCTCTGAGGTTTGGTCCTCCGGGGTCCGGTAATGCGACTAGGTCCTCTCAGCGAGTCACAGGGTTTGGAGTAGTTTCAACTTTCGTATCGAAAGACCGTTTCGATATGGTGTCCGGTTCGTATCATGGTATGGTCACTTTGACTTTCTTGCAGTTGACCAGGGAATCGGTAGGGCCGGCCGCCAGGTACACACTTCGCGTGTTCGGTTTTAGGTGGAGATTGTGACTCTCGGGGTTTGGCGTGCCGTGTCTCCATTTTATGAAATTAATTTGTTAGACCTGAATGGTCTAACCTTAGGTCTACCGCTCACCTACCGGTAAATTGAGTAAACGAGTTAGAGCTCGGGACTTTGCCAGCATCAAACAAACTAAGATTCTAAACCCCGAGTTAGCCACCTCAATACCAGTATTCCAAAAAGCATCCGATCGAAAAACCCATACGAACCCTAGCAGTCCCCCGGGCATGATAGGTACCTAACCTCAAGATAGGCTACCGGTATAGCCACTTGGCACACATAACTGTTTTAGTCTAAACCCTCATGCACATTGCAAACTCGACATCAAATTGATACTACCGTACGGTACCTCCTAAATCCTGGATCCTGATTCTTGAATCCCGAGCAGGAATTGGAAGGATGAACACCGTGACGGCGCGAATTATTGGAAACATCACTTCCCATCACTGTCGCAAGTCAATCAATCAATTTATTTTATAGTCCCGTAGGAGCCATGGGTGGCTCATGAGACAAGGTCTGAATGTAGTCTCGAGTCCTAAACGCCTCTCTAACAAAGCTAGCAACCCTCTGTTGGTTCTCCTGACCTATAAAATGACGCAGACTAAATGCGGACTGGCCAACAAACAAATCCATGTACCGCTCTGTGCGTAGGAACCTATAAGCTGGG